TCATGTTCGCCAAGTATTATAAAAACTAAGAGATGCAGGATTCTATGTCAAGATAGAAAAGTGTATATTTCACACTACTCAAGTTGATTTCTTAGGGTACATCATTTCAAATGATGGACTTATGATGGATCCTAAAAAAGTTCAAACTATTATGGATTGGAAGATCCCAAAAACGGTAAGAGATGTCCAATACTTTTTAGGATTTGCGAACTACTATCGAATCTTCATCAAAGACTTCTTTTAAGTTGCAGCTCTACTTACACATTTGACTTGTTAAGACAAATTTCAATGGAATCAAGAAGTAGAAGTAGCATTTGAAGACAGCCTTTGTTTCTGCACCAATCTTGTATCGCGTCGATTTTTCTAAGCCATTTTTTATGGAAATAGATGCATCAAATTTTGCTTTAGGTGCCGTATTGTCACAAATGGGAATAGATGATAAACTTCACACAATAGCTTTTCATTCCAGAAAATTTTTAGCAGTTGAGATCAACGACGAGATCTACGACAAAGAACTTCTTGCAATCATGGATTCGTTTCAAGAATGGCGCCATTATTTAGAAGGTACTTTTAACCTAGTCACAGTGTATACGGATCACAAGAACCTTGAATATTTTATGTCAGCACGTGTTTTGAATCGTCGCTAAGCCTGTTGGAGTATGTCTTTATCAAGATTTGAATTCAAGATCACTTATCAACTAGAAAAACAACAAGGTTTATCAGATGCACTCTCTAGATAATCTTATCTTACACCAAACGAAGGAGATGCTGCTTTTGATCAACAACGAACAATTCTCTTGAAGCCAGAGTATCTTCATCTTCGAGCAATGAAATCAACACTAACTGTTGATTCAACTTTCATTAAGCAAGTTCAATCAAGTATGTCTTTTGGTCCTCTTATTCATGATATTAAGAGAAATCCTTCAAAGTCTCATGATACTTCTAAGTTTGAATTCAAGAAGAATCTATTATATTTTGAAGGACGCCTACATGTTCCAAAAGGTGAAGCTCGATTACATGTTCTTCAAGCTCGTCATGACTTTCCAACAGCATGACATTTTGGATACAATAAAAATTTGGAACTAATATCCAGGGACTTTTGGTGGCCACAAATGTAGAAAGCAGTCAAAGATTTTGTACAATCTTATGATGTTTGCTCGAGATCAAAAACTCCTCGTCATCGACCTCACAGACTTCTTTAGCCATTACCCATTCCAGAACAACCATGATCTTCTATTTCTATAGATTTTATCACGGATCTTCCAATCTCAGGTTCTTATGACTCTATATTTGTGATAGTGGATCGTTTTACCAATATGGCATATTTTGTACCTTCTACAAAATCTATCACAGGTGAAGAAACAGCTAAGCTCTATCTTGACAATATCTATTGCTATCATGGATTATCCAAGGATATTATATCAGATAGGGGAACTCAATTTGTATCAAGGTTTTAGCGGACTCTTTTCAAGATTCTAAAAGTGGATATAAAACTATCTTCGACATTCCATGCTCAAACTAATGGACAAACGAAGCGTGTTAATCAAGTTTTGGAGCAGTATTTAAGATATACCATTAACTACCAACAAGATGATTGGACAACTCTTTTGTCATTGGTAGAGTTTGCTTATAATAACACAATACATTCTTCTACAAAACAAACACCTTTATTTGCTAATTATGGTTATCATCCATGACTTGATACTTTTGACTTTTCAAAAGTTGATAATCCTGCTGCAAAAGATTTGGCAATTCATTTGTCAGAGCTACATGCAATGATGAAGGCATAGTTAAAAGAAGCTTAAGAACAACAAAAGCTCAATGTGGATGTCTATCGAAAGGAACAACTACCATTCCACATGTGTGATAAGGTATGGTTACTTCATCGCAATACCAAGACCACTCGTCTTTGCGACAAGTTGGACTATTGAAGGCATGGACCATTTTCTATTTTTGCACAAATCAATCCAGTTGTATATCGTTTACATCTATCCGAGTCAATAAAAATCCATCCAGTATTTTACATGTCTCTTCTTGAACGATACAAGATAGTCGACATACCAAGAAGAAGACAAGCTTCACCTCCTTTTATAGAAGTGGCAATAATCAAGAGTTTAAAGCGGAAGAAGTCTTAGATTCAAGGCGGTCCCAAAATAAATTAGAATATCTAGTCCATTGGCACGGATATGATATTAGTGAACGCACATAGGAGCCAATAAAGAATCTTACAAATGTAGCAAAGGCGATGGAGGCTTTTCATCGACGACATCCATCAACATCAAGATGAAAACCTTCTTTATAAAAGAAACAAGATCTAGGCAAGATAACATTCTACTTTCAATCCTTGTTTGTAGCTTCTTTGTAGTTTTGATGCTCAAGAGATGGAGAACGAACAACCAAGGGATTTGACTCAAGAGCCTTTGTTTCCTAACGTGCCAGACGAGACATTACGATTGTCACAATCTTCAAGATGACAAAATCGAGATGAAGATCTTCAAGAACGACATATTCTTCCTTAAATAGATGGCAAAATACAATGCATTTGATATCACAACCTTGAAAGGGACTCTCGATGTTTGGTGATTTTACTAGAGGTAGAAACAACTCTTGATGGTGTTTCAAATGTTTTATTCGAAGGAAGTTATGAAGGCCTCAACAATGATCAAATAACTATGTAGTCTTCCTGCCGTAGTATGGGACACTACCGATAGTTGAGAGGCCCTATCAATCATCTTCGAAGAGAACAAAGATCAGAGTATGTGGCGAATACAATTCGTCGCATCATAGATTTCTTCAACATATGATTACCGCTCCTCGTGGAACTCGTCCCTAGAAGGAGGGGTAATATCACGGACATATACATGTAAGAGAGTAATTACATATATAAATAGATAGAAGTAAATAAAAATAGGTAAAAATATGTTAATTCTATAGTATTTGGTATGGAAGCTTTTTAGAAGGTTCATAGACGTTGCTTTGACTTTATAAGTGTCTTTAATTGACTTTTTGGATTAAAAACGTAGTCAACAAGTTGGCCATGTGCTACACATATTGTTAGCTTGGTCTTCAAGTTAACTATGTGGCCCACACCTAGAAAAACTTGCCTTGTAAGTCAAGGCATGTATCCTACAAAGTCAACACATATTGGAGGTCCTAAAGAACGTCGCCATGTAGCCCTTAGTTAGATAGTATATATAGAGACAAGAGTGAAGCCTTCTTCACTATTGTCAACTCTTTTCTTGCTTCCAGTCTAGTTTCAAGGGTCTCTAGTTTTCTTGGCTTTTGGCAATAGCCATTCCAGTTTCTTTCTTAATATATATATCAAGTTATTTCTATTTTTTCATCTTTCTTTGAGAGAAGTCTCACTTGTTATTTGTCTTTATCATATTCTTGTCCTTGACAGTTATCTAAGTACGACCTACCATGGAACCTTTTAGAAGAAATTTAAGGCCGTTATCTAAGTCGGGTCCATCATCTAAGAACATTCTAGAAAGTCCAGAGTGGTAGAACAAAGTATAAATAGGACTTGCTAGGGGCTTTTAGGGCATCTGAACAAGTATGGTTTTGGATATTTTTTCTTAATACAATTGAGTTTTATATTTTCTTATTTTATTTTATTCTATTCTAATTTTGGCTACTTTGTTTTGTCTTTTGTATTTCATTCTATTTAATTTTGTTCAGTTTTGCTCTGATTTAATTTGTCCTACTTTGTGATGAGGTTTTATATTCTTGTGGGTTAGAAGGATCTTGGTTACTTGAAATAGAGTGGCCCTGTTTCATATTATATAAATAATCATTGGAATAAATATTTTTGGCTGTGACATGTGCTTACATTGATAAAAGTAAAATTATTTGTATCTACTTGTTGCCATGATTCAAAAATATATCTTTTAACAAAATATCAAATATATTTCTATCAAAATTCATAGTTATTACTTATAATCAATTAATTAAAATTTTTAATAATCAAAACATAAGACTTTTAATATTATCTTTGAAAGAAATTATTAATAAAATTGACTTAGAAATTTTAACATCCATTGATTCATATAGCAATAAAGATTTGCTTAAGACATTAATTGTTGCTATATTTGTAAATATTTTATTTAAAGATTTTCAATGCCATTCAATTTTGACAAATACATACTTTGTAAGTTTTGTAGTAGACTTGCAATTATGTTTCTAATAGAAATAATAAGAAAAGTATTGCAATAATAAAAGTAAGATTTTTGTTGCTAAATTCTTTAAAAAAAATAATTTTTGTTATTCTTTTACAAACTTACAATGACATCTTATAAAGTAAAAAAATTCATTAGATCTAATTACAATCAATGTAATATAGTTTGAAAAATTTGAACATTTAAATAGATTATTTTAATTCATAATTAACATCATTTAATATTAGTCACACTACCCTTGAGCAATTACTAATGATATTTTCAATGTATGCATCAAAATTTAGATTTGTATAGAGGCGGATATAACTTATACCTAAAATTTTTTTACTAACGAAAAGCCATGATGATTGTATGAGATGATTTCTTCTAAAGAAACGTCTCTTATCTCCTTGTTGGAATTTTCATTAGTTCTCATGTACATTCAGCCATTGGTAGGTTAGAATCTGACGTTACAAAGGAAACCAAAGGTTCTTAATTAGAATATCTTTTATCATCAAGATCAAGATGCTTTTAGGTCTTTGCTTGGGGTCAACTTCGAGGCTCAAGGACCCCCCACCAATATAGATGCAAAGTGCACTAGAGAGGTGCAATGCAAACTGGGTGCCCACGCTGACAGAGGCTTGTGAAGTCCTTTCTCGGACCAGTCATCAATCTGGCTGCATGCACAGCATGATGGGAGAAGAGGCGGCTAAATATAGAGTGGATTGACTGAGGGTGTTGTAACATTAGCAAGGGTCGCGGCAGAGCAGCGATGCCCCGAGGTGCTCAATGTCTTGCGTAAGTAATAGAATATGAAACACCAGCGTGAGGTATAGATTAGAGTGAAGCGCCTCGCGAGAACAGTGTGCTGTCATGCGACGTGTGCTGCTAGCCATTTTGGTAAATACACACTTCAACCAGGCGCCACATATGTGCGAAGCCCTAGTACCTGAAGGCACAACATTAGGGCCCGTCACACCATTGCTAATATAAATCCTTCCGCACCTCGCCGACGTCATGTCTCACTGACAAACTGCGGCGGTGTTTTACAACTTCTTCACTGCCATTTATACACTTCGAGTTCAGTTTGGATCTCCATTTCCAGTCGACGTGAGTGATTATTGCGGACTGGTGAGGAGACTTCGTGATGAGGTTGATTGTTGCTGAAAGCCAGTTGACAGTAGCCCGAGTGTAAGCCTTCGATCACATTGGAACGCAATGGCAGTGACAGGCATTGCTGCCGCTAGTGATGCTGGTCACTGAGCTGCGTGAGTCGGAGATACACGTTGTGGAGGTCTGATCGACGAAGTCGTGAGTGTGCTGAGTTGATTCATTATGGAGGTCCCAATGCCGAGTGCGAAGTTGGTGGAGCAGCCTGTATTTTCCTTGCCAGTCGATTCTGAACATAAGGCCAAGTCAATTCAAATCTTCAGCTTCGCGCAGCCACATATGCGAGCGTTACATCTCTCCTGGATATCATTTTTCACTTGTTTTCTGTCGACATTTGCTGCCCCGCCGCTTATTCCTATCATCCGTGACAATCTGAACCTAACCAAAACCGACATTGGACAAGCTTCAATTGCTTCAGTATCTGGTAAGCGAGAATTGTACAATGGTGAATGAATTCATGTTTCTAGATCTATTTCAAGAGCTCTTCTGTCTACTGCTTGCGTTCTCTCGGTTTTGGTTGTACGTTGACTTTCGATTTGCGACGATCATTGAGTGCGTTAATGAATTTTACAAGAATGCGAATTGATGTGTTGGCTATGATTTTACAGGTTCAATCATGTCTCGACTTATGATGGGAACCGTCTGTGATCTAGTTGGACCAAGATACGGCTCGGCATTCCTAATTATGATAAATGCTCCAGCCGTTTTCTCCATGTCGTTGGTTGATGACGCTGAGGGCTTTCTGATCTGTCGATTTTTTATCGGCTTCTCACTTGCCACATTCGTCTCATGCGAATTTTGGGTGAGCAACATGTTCACCACCAAGATCATGGGTACTGCTAACGGGATTGCTGCTGGCTGGGGTAACCTCGGTGGTGGCGCTACTCAAATTATCATGCCTCTGGTATTTCATTTAATGCTGCACAGGTAAAAGGATTGAGCTTATCTCTGGTTCCAATCGTCGTAGCAATTTTTTCGCTTGCATGATTGATAATGAACATCCAACTAACCAATCCTGTGCATGCCTTATCTGAATGGCTTTACAGCTTCCATAATCCAGCGTTCACAGCCTGGCGCCTCTCGTTTTTCCTCCCTGGGACAGCCCATATTGTCGTGGGACTGTTAGTCCTATGCCTTGGCCAAGATCTTCCTGACGGAAACCACTCGACGCAACTCCAGAAACAAGGCGGAGATGTCAAGGATGGCTTCAACAAGGTTAAGATTCCTCACAAATACCCTCATGATCATGCACAGCAGAATTGCCGTCATTTCGAAGTCGAATTTGCAGAGCTGAATTTTATTTCTTGTTGAAAAGCAACTGAAAACTAAAAACGATGCTACTCCCTTTGTATTTGGAGGGTTGCAGGTACTATACTTTGCAGTCACAAGTCCGAAAACATGGATTTTCTTCATCCTTTACGGATACAGCTTCGGTGTGGAGTTGACCGTTGATAACATTATCGCTGAGTATTTTTACGACCGCTTCGACTTGAATCTGAACACAGCTGGCACCATCGCATCTGCATTTGGCCTTATGAACATAGTGTCGCGTCCAGCCGGTGGTTACCTCTCTGATTGCGTTGCTCGTCGGTTTGGAATGCGTGGCCGTTTGTGGATCTTGTGGACCCTTCAATCCTTAGGAGGGCTTCTGTGCATTGTGCTCGGCTTAATGAGCGACCTGACTGCCGCCATTGTGGCTATGATCTTCTTCTCAATCTGCGTCCAGGCAGCCTGCGGAGCAGTCTTCGGAATCGTGCCTTTCATATCCCGGAGGTCGTTGGGCGTGGTCATCGGATTGACTGCCTGCGGGGGAAACGTGGGCTCCGTGTTGACGCAAGCCCTCTTCTTCACGTCCTCCTCCTATCACACCGAAACGGGGCTTATTTACATGGGCGTCATGATCCTCTGCTGCACCTTGCTGATTATCGCAGTGTATTTCCCGCAGTGGGGTGGCATGTTCTTCCCACCCTCGAAGTCCGTCTCAGAGGAGGACTACTATGTATCTGAATGGACTGCGCAAGAGCAAGAGCAAGGGTTGCACTTAGCTAGCTTGAAATTCGCCGTGAATGCTCGCAGTGAGCGTGGCGGTTACTGCAGCTCCAGCTCTGCGGATCCAGAAGGTGACCATCCCACTGCCGATGGCCTTGGCCTATCCATGTGGAAATCCTACTCGCACTAGAGTGTTTCCAAACTTTAACTCAATTTTTGATCCTGCGTAACGATCACACAATCGCAATTGCTTCAAACCTCAGAATCTAGACATCCGAATTGCTCAGATCTGTCAGGACGTCTCTAACTTCTCCGGCCTAAGGACTAACGTTCCCGGCAGGTTGTAACATCCTCCCATTTTTTAATGCAGTGGTATATCTCCACTAGTTCTTTTCTATCGTGTGTGTGTATATGTATATATATATATATATATATGTGTGTGTATGTATGTGTGTGTGGGAGACTTTAAGGGTGTTTGGTAAGATTGACAATTTTGCATTCAATTCACGTTGTCATAGTTTTAAACAAATATACATCTCGAAACTTTGCCAATAGGAAACGAACCTGTTGCATCTTGACCCAATTGTTACATTCTCGAAACCAAAAAAGATAACAAGATTGGATTAATGATTTAACCAGTGATGTGACGAGCATTGTGGAGCCGTGTGAACTTATGAAGGGAGAAAGAGCATAGTTAGAGAAAACAATGTTGATAAGTCTTTTAAATCTCTATTGTTTGTTCTTTCATAAGAAGCTTGCTACCATTCCATGAGGCCGATTCTATTAGAAAGCGTCTCTAGTGGTGGAGTTCAGATTCTTTCAATGCTTGTCATTTGAGTATTCCACAAATGATATTTGCAATCTACTTGAAGACTATTTGAGTATTCCACAAATGATATTTGCAATCTACTTGAAGACTATTTGAGTATTCCACAAAAGATAATTAAGGTTAGACATACACTAACCTTGAGTTTTAATACTTTCACCAGCATTCATCACTCTGAAACCAAAAATAAAAGATCTCAAGTGTTACATCTTTGGTATCATGCACAAAATAAAAGATACAAGAAGATAAAGAGATATTCACATTGAGAGGTCAAATTCAGTGTCTTGGTGAAATGGTTGCATTCTTTTTTGCTATCATATTCGTTTAGAATGTCTAGTACAACTTTTATTTTTGGTGAATGTTCCAATTGAAATGGCATTTATTGCAATATTGAATAATTTTGCTAGATCCACAACATCAATTAATTTTGTTCTTCTTTTCCTTTGTCTTTAATAATCTTCAAGTAGATTGCAAATATTTTTATAATTACGTGATTTCAAAGAAAATAACCCATTCACTAGGACATTTATTAAACAAAGTGTCAAAAACTAAACTTGATACATCAACTTAAATCAATAACCAAATAAAATTATTGATTTAATGATCAAATAATAATAATAATAATAATAATAATAACTAAGATTATGTAAGAAAAAAAATGATTATTAAGTTAAATATAAAATATATAAGAAGATATTTGTAATCAAGTGAAAAATAATTTTATGACAAAGGATGCAATCTTATTTTCATGTGATGTGACATTGGATGCAAAATCCTATTGAATGTATGTAATTTGGTTTGGTTTGGTATAGTGGTCTCTTTTCCATTTAACTTTGTGGTTGAACATTTGTATTTGGTTTAGATTGAGTACTTTGTGATTGATTTGTAGCATTTGATGTATTGTATATAACCATCTTTGTTTACATAATATTATACTATTACATGAATTGGTATTATTTTTCTAACATCTATATATATATATATATATATATATATATATCAATTGATTCAATAAGTCTATAAAAAAAATAAATTCTATGTAATCAACTATATAATTATATAAAATCTAAACATGACAAACTTTATTTGTTTTTGGTTTTTTGAATTAAAAAATACACATATACACACACATACATACATAATCTTATCTAAAAATAATGCAACTATTATCAAGACAAAGCAATTTTAATCTAATATTATGTGAACATTTTGTTTTAGATCCAACTTTAATAAAATTATATACATTCCAACCTTGTACAATAATGACAATCAATAATCCATGTGCATAGTATATATTTTCACATCAAATCTCTTTTGTCAAATGATGTAGCATTAGGTATCAATTCTTCTCAAATATATGTAGTTTAATTAAATTTAGTAGATTTTCATCCACTAAGTTTTTTTAGTTAGTTGACTTACTGTACTAACTTTGATAAGAATATTAAATTATGGAGTTTTTTATTGTTGAATTATTGTAATATTATTTCTTAGGTATCAAATTTGCAATTATATTGTGGTACAAAAGAAGTCTAAAGACTAGCTAGTCATTGCAAATACTAGAAGATAAGACAATGTATGGAAGCAATTGGAGTAATAGGAGTTGGTCAAATAGTGCAGCACAATTCTATTAGAGGTTATTATAAGATTGTAGTATTTTTGAATGTTGAGGTGCTTAGATACTACAATATTGGACAGAAGTACTTAAGGATTGGTTGTGGTGCAACATCAAAGATTAGTTTCAATATTCATGTAGTGCAGCATCAAGGATTAGTTTCAATATTCACATAGTGTTGTACCAAGGACTAGTTTTAGTATTCATATGGTGCAACATCAAGGAGTAATTTAAATAATCATATAGTGTAATATGGACTACAAATTAGGATTGTGAAATGACACTATTTAGTTTTAATATTAGTAATAATATTATTTTTCTTATAGCATTACTATTGGTATGGAATTTTGTCAAAATTGGTACAACAAGGATATGTAGTACAATGCTAGAGTTTCATTGTAGTGTGGCATTGGATGGTACAATGCAAGTTATGACATTAAAGCTAAGTTGATGCAATGGTTGAAAGTAGAACAATATTTTGTAAATGTTTTGAATCAAAAGTAGATTTATGTATAAAATTTAGATTTGTATTTATTAGTTCTTTCCTTCCCAAAGATATTGTATATTTGTATTGCCCTCATCTATTGAAGACAATAATCTTGTTTCTTGATTTGCAAGAAAGAATCCAATTTTGTGCATTAACTATGGAAGAATAGTGTCTCATGCTATAACATAAAAGTTTTGTGCATTGAACCAAGACTAATGACAAGAATCTAAGCTTAGCCAAAATTGTAAAATTTATGTGAAAAAACAAACTTTGAATCAATAACAATAATTGATATTTCTTAATGGCAACAGTACAACACTTCGCAACCTCCTACAATATCATAGTAATAGAAGTCATGTGATTATATGATTCAAAGTGGTGATAAGTGATTATAGACAATCACAAGAATTAGAGTGGTTATAAGGCCAAATGCAGTAATAAGTAAAGGTGCGTAGTCATATAGCTTTAAAAAAAAATGCTTAAAACTTCTAAATATTAAATTTTGAAAGTTCACTTTAAAAGCATATAGAATCCAAATTTGACAATTTTGGAATTGTATTTGTGTAGAAGTTGTCCAAGAAAGTCAATAGTGTTTTAGATTTATAAATTGAAAGTTATTTGGAGTAATTAAGTAGTATTTATTCTATGTTATTCTCTTCCTAAGTGAGTTTTAATCCCACTCTTCTTTGCATTTTATATTTTGGATTTTTTTATTACAATCTTTTTTTATTTTCATAGATTTTGTGATTTGTTGCTATCAATCACAAGCAAGTGTCAATTGCTTGATTTACTTGTAATTTCTACTTTTATGTAGTTAAGGATAATAATCTAGTATAGATTTTTGGTTTTGTGTCTTTAGTACCCTCTCTTAGTTGCTAGTATTGTTGCCGAAGGTTTTTTTTAGTGTTGTCTTATTTTATGTTGTGCTAGTCTATGTTGATATATATATATATATATATATATATTATAGAGGTATAGTCATGTTGATGGCTAATAAGATCCTTAAATTTGTTGGCTTATTGGCCATGTAATAATTTAGAGGTGACTATCAGGGAAGTGCAAAGATTGGTGATGGTTGCAAGTATGGGTTGCTTTTAAGTGTTTAGATAGTTGCAAGTACCTAAGTCCTTTTTATGGTGCATACCAATGGTCAAATTAATATGAATGCAAAAGAAAGCAAAAGAGACAAAATATTTAAGAAATACTTAAAAATCATGTGAGCAATTTCATACATTACAAACATAGTTGTCTTTTGCAATTATAATGTCTTTAAACATAGATAAGCATGTTACAACTAGTGAACACAATCACTTCTAATTCATTTTTGGCACAAATCCATTGAATAGTTTTGTATGAGATAAAATATGTTTGCTTTCAAAGATTTATACTTTACAACAAAATGGTACAAACTTATAGGTACATGTTCTAAACTAAAATTTCATACCATTCTCCACACTTTATTAACAAATATGTGTATTTATACTTACATTTTGATCACCTTCTGTCGTCATGGACATACTTCCCTTAACCAGGTACAGCTATGACTAATTCTTGAGCCACAGCTGGGACTAATTCTTCTTAATGGCGGTTTCAACACATTCAAACTCATTCAAACTCTATCTGTTAAATAGAGTGTGCTTCGGGTCTATTGCAGGACAAGAAAGGTTATGAAAAATATTCTTAACTGTATAGCTAGCCTACAGTCCTACATATTGTCGAGTCATGAACAGGTCGTATTTCATGGATAGGTCACTGCTCAAGAGCCCCTAATGGGACAGACCGATGTCTGTGACGAATCCTGCTGGTTTGATTATCAAAGTAATCTGGAACGGTATGCGATGAAGAGCAAGATATGCTGAGTCAGAGGACCACAGCATCAACTGAATCGAAGTCCTGTTCCAATCGTAATCAATTGGTTTATCAATTGCGATAAAAGATCAGAACAGTGAAAGCATCAAGTAATCTCAGCACTCGCAACCAATTCATCAGCAACTCTAAAAGTAAAAGTACCATTGCTGATGTGGGTTTGAAAAGCATGACTGAATTGTAAAATACATTAAGGTTAAGAAGAGATGTCGAACGAGCATGGATATCCAACTTGTATCCTTGTAAAAGAATTTAAATAAAATATTTAGGCACATAAATATGTTCTGTGTCAAGCATTATATTCCGTAACTAGGTCTGTTAAAAAGCTAACTACCTGTCCCTACTATAGTTCAGTCGCAGCTTCGCACAAAATCACATGTTTCTATACATTCAAAACTACTTTTCAGTCAGACCAAAGATGCCATTTCCTTCCAGCAGACATTCGCGCTTAACTAGCAGTATTTAGTCAAAACAATCAATCAATTTGGTATCATCTGATTTTCAGAAACAAAATAATAAACGCTGGTAGATAGCACCATTACAAGATTTAACCAGACCTAACAGAAACTAAATCAATAAAATCAAAATCAAAACATCTCTGATCCACATTTGGATAATTCAAGTGGTATGACTCAACTGCTCCTAATCACCCTAATTATCGTAAGTTGGATTTTTGAGGGCATCACTAGAATTCAAGCACAGAATTATGAAATTACGCGATCAATAAACAGCCCATAAAATGGGAATTATGAAAAGAACTCTGCATCATGCAAGACAGACTCTGTGTTGCGAGTCGAAAGCAGTCTTACTCATGTATTCGATAGTAGTAAAGAACGTCACTAACCATTACATTCACTGAGTCAAGGTACAAAACAGCACCGGCTTGAACCCTGAACCCTTTAGTAGCTCTATCACTCACAACATCCCAAATTCTAACGACCTAACCAAGTGACGGCATCAAAGACGAGCTTTAAATTCCCCATCTCACCCCACGACCCAAAACTTTCCGTTCACACCAAGGAAATCTGCATACCGAGATAAGCACCAGCTACCGACGTCCGCCGCATCTCCCATCTCCCCTGCCCATGTTCTTCTATTCAGTAGAAGTAGGCATGGAGCGGATGATGTCAGAATCACCAGGGTCCGTGATACTCAAAGTGCACACGCGGAAGTACTTCCCGCAGGCGGTTCCCAGGTCCACGTTGTTGCCGCTGTAGTGGTGCACACCGGTCTTGGAGAGCATGGCGTAGTATTCGATTTCGGACTTTCGAAGAGGTGGGCAGTTGTTGGCTATAATGACGAGCTTGCCCTTGCCGCCCCGGAGCGACTTGAGTGTGGTGGTGTAGCCCAGCGTGTACTTGCCGGACTTCATGACCAGGGCAAGCCTGTTGTTGATGGACTCTTGGGCCTTTTTGGTCTTCTTGACGGCCACCATGGTGCCGGAGCTTGCAGGAACACAGCTCTCTCACAGGCTTACCGACGGGTGCTACAGCAGGGGCCTGGGCTTGATCTGGCACTGCAACAAAGAGAGGATGACCGAGTTGCCCTCCCCTGCCTTTGCAGCCCCCCACTGGAGCCTCCAAACCCTAACTTCGTTCCCCTCCTGTTCCTCTCATGTTCCCATCCAGCGTGGCGAACTCCGGCATATATATTGGATCCAACAGTATTTGTATTGAAGTTAATTCATTTCTTTGACAATAAATGCCCGATGATGCTGTTCTGAGTTTGGAATATCCAACTGAATTATAATATGTAACATGATTAAAATATGATCCATTTATCTTTATTTTTAGCTTACGCACATAACATAGGATTGTAATCCTTGATAATAAGTATGATTTAGCTTAATGACTGGTTTATCGTAACATAACTTTTCACAACTTAGCATAACCTGTGCATAATATGTTGTGCATAGGCATTCCAACTACAGTTAGTTAATCATTCTCAAGGTTTTTAAGTCCACAGAATATCTCAATCGTGTACAATAAATGACAACTATCATATCTTACCAATTTCAAACAAAACATTATCATATTGTTTTTTCTTTTCTCATAAAAGTGGTCATACGAATGTCATAGCATAAAAAAGTCTGTACATATGGAATTCATCCATAGAAAGATGTTATATAATGATATAATTTTAGAATAACAATAACAATAACAAATAATTCGGGAAAAATATCGTTCATGCAAATGTGATGACAATCCCTTCTTTATTCTTTTAAAAAAAAATACGAAAGCCAGATTGCAAACCACAAAACCTACAGATAGAAAAGTGGTCCTATGCTGAAAATTGGTGAAAATTGTAAAATGTTATACAATAGACAACTATTTTAAAACTGACTTTACACTTGGCAGAAATTTTTTATGTTTCATCACAATTTTACTGTGGTATATAGTATATAGCTTTATTTTTAAATAATCAGTTTCTGAGTCTCAATATATCATGCTTTTGAATCATGTGTTTAAATGTAATCTGATACAAATTAATGTTATCAACCACAGAATCAAAAATTTAAGCACATATCAAATCAAGCAATTTATTGTGCACAGAGACTTAATGCCAATAACCGCAATAGCGAGAATAAAGTGTTTTCGATTTCTTAAAATAATAAAAAAAGACCTATACATTGACTTTAAATGTAAAGTAAATTAAGTATAAAATAGACACGTCAAAATGACAGTGACAAGTGTCCACTTAGATGGATGTTGTAAGCGCAAGCAACGGACATTCATCTAAAACATGTGTCACCATAGAAATCATCCACTATAAATCATCCAGGAGAGGGGCTCATATGCGCCATGTGAACCCGGCAGAGTGGGGTCCCTGCTCCGAGGAAACTCGAATGCCAAATTAGGGTTCCAAGGTCGTGGGGCCCCGACTGCGGTTCGAGGCTTGCGAGAATGGATCTGCGAGGGTTTCCTCAGCACAAGCCCCCGGTTGAATGCTTTGGGCTGTTTTCACGACACTTAGTTTGTTGCCGATCAGTGTCACTGGGAGGTCTTATGTATTTTTTACAGTGGGCCTTTTAGGTTTTCGGTTTGTATGCTCTGTGTTCGTGTGTGTTGTTGTTTTCATGGGTTGTTGATGAGGGATTAGGGCGGGTATAGTGGAAAGACAAGGGAATGGTAGCCATGTCAGTCCAGGCCGGGATGAGCGACGTGGGGATTTCAGGTGGGAAGGTTGAGGATGCGGAGAGGAATCCTTTGTTGCAAGAGGATGCGCAGTTCCCGGGGCATGACGGTCCTTGGGATGGGGTTCGGGAGGTAGCGGACGGTGAGGAAGACGAGAGTGACGAGGCAATTCAGCAGCGGAGACAGAAGACTCAGTCCAAGTTGTTGCACCAGCAGAAAGAGGAGGAGGCAGGTTTGGAGGAAGAGTTGGAGGAGGAGGACGAAGACGACGAGGAGTCTGCATACGAGACGGATTCGGATTCCGGGTTGGCATCCGTGGTGAAGCCCTTGGTGTCGAAACCGGAGCTGGACACCATTGCGGAGCGGGATAAATTGGAAATGGAGGAGGAGGTGATGAAGTCCCCAACACCGTCTGCCGGTGATGAAGTCAAGAACGAGGAGGAGGTTGTGAAGAACAGGGAAGATGAAGATTGGGTAATGAGACCAAGGCATAAGAGAACGATTTCTGGAAAACTCGGAGAAAATCGTTCTTCGAACAAGTTCTTGAGCATGTGGACAAGGATATTTTCGTCGGTCTGGATGATTGGCGGATTTATTTTGATAGTTTACATGGGCCATCTCTACATATGGGCTATGATTGTAGTTATCCAGCTTTATATGGCTCAGGAACTCTTCACTCTTGCAAGGGGGAAAACAGGACGCGATAATAAGCTCCCCGGCTTTCGATTACTTAATTGGTACGGACTATTGATCTCTTAATGTGCCTTTAGTGAGATATCCCACTTTCTCCTTCGGTTACTACGATTTTTAGGTTTGTGATTTATTCCACAAGTTGCACTGCTGTGGCTAAAGCTTAGTCTTCAGTCCTCATTTTGTTCACACGGTAAGTGCAGTCAACCCATGTATAATCTAGGTACTGTCGCTGGCGAAGGTCAGTTGTGGCCACATTGTTTTGCTGAAGTGCCCTAGTTCACCATTCGTTCCCACAAAATGCTTGCAATTTCTTACTTGAACATCAAATATGATTTATAAAACGCATTTGACTAACAGTTACTTGGATCGGTTTTCAGGCATTTTTTCCTTACGGCGATGTTATATGTTTATGGACGCTTTTTGAACAAGCATCTGGTGAAGACTATTTATAGTGACCACATGATCCCACACCTTTTCAAATACGGATTGATCAAATATCACATGCTTATATGCTACTCACTGTACATCGCAGGTAACGTGTTTTTTTTCTTGCTTTTTTCTTTGCTTAGTTCTTGCACTGTTCTAGTGCTGTCATTCAGGTAACGAAAAAACTTTCGTAATATTTTTGTTGTTAAATTGGTAGCTGAAGGATATTCCAATTAGTGCTACCTCATGTTTTTCGTCTTCATATTCATTACTTACTGAGAAATGTGGCGATTGTGTGGGCATCGACCTCCTTCGATATATTTTTGTATGACTATGAGAATCCCATTTAGATTAATCTCCTCTACTTCATGTTTGTATGACTATAGTTCGTGTACTTTGTGCAGGTTTTGTCTGGTTCATTCTGACTTTGAAGAAAGGCTCGTACAAGTATCAGTTTGGTCAATTTGCTTGGACGCACATGATTTTATTAGTTGTATTTGCACAATCCTCCTTCACGGTAGCCAACATTTTTGAGGGCATCATATGGTAAATCCTTTTAGCCATTTTAGTTCTGAAGATTATCGTTCCGTGGCGACCTTGGCACTTTTCAGTTAATTGTTTCCTGATTGCCACTAATAAATTAAGTTATAACGTTCCATGTCTTTAGTTGAGTTCCATGTTCTTGACTCTTTGGTCACCCTAGGTTGTCCTATGTTGAGAGATCCTGCTCTTGATGTCTTGATTTATTTGTCTTCAGCCGTTTTAAGTTATCGAACACTTTGGTACTGTGCAGTTTCCTTGGTTGTTTCCAAACTTTGAACTCTTGCCTTGAAGAGTAATATAGCTTTTTTTGGCAATATGTGCAGGTTTTTACTACCTGCCTCCTTAATAGTGATCAATGATATTATGGCTTATTTCTTTGGCATTTTTTTTGGCAAAACTCCTTTGATTAAACTATCACCTAAAAAGACTTGGGAAGGTTTTATTGGAGCATCTATCACCACTGTTATGTCTGCTTTTATGGTGAGCTTCTTTTACACTTCTTTGCGCTATCCAACATTCCTCTCGTTCTGTGAATATACCATGAGATGTTTCGAATATAGATATATATATATAAAATATATTTATATGTTTTGTATTCGCGTGCTTATATCTGGCTACTTCTTCATCACTACATTGAGTTGGTAGAATGAACTAATTTATAGTACATATCTTTATGCTTGCAGCTTGCGTATGTCATGGGTCAGTCGGAATGGCTTACATGTCCCCGAAGAGTAAGTACTTGGCTTTTTATCTAGAACTTTTCCCCGCCTGTTCGAAGTTCACTCTTGTATTTTCCAGTATCAAATTCAACGCTGTAGGTATTTGATAGATTCTCAGATTTCTTCTATCTCCTTGTATATAGTTTTTTCGAGGAGTTTTACATGTGTCTAGTCATGATGAATGAATTCTGAGAAGTGAAGTTCTGGTTGGATTAGGATTGCTTGCTACTTGTGACCTGGTTGAATAAAGTGTCAGCGTCTTGCATTTCCAGGATTTATCAACTGGATGGCTGGAATGCGACCCAGGACCTCTATTTAAACCAAAATACTATCCTCTTCCGGCTTGGACACCGCAGTGGGTATGGCTTAAATTCACAGCTATGTTCTAACTATTGACATCCTTTTAATCTTCTTTACGAGATGCAAAGTTTGTGCTCTCTCTTACACAGACAGCTTTTCGAACTTCAGTTTCAGTAAAACTATTGTTTTGCTTATCAGTTTTGTCGTATAAATGGTGCCATTTTGGATTGTTTCAGTTTCCTGTGAAAGAATTTGGAGTGATGCCAGTGCAAAGACATGCGATGGCATTTGGACTATTTGCATCCCTCGTTGCTCCATTCGGGGGTTTCTTTGCTAGTGGATTTAAGCGAGCCTTCAAAATTAAGGTTATTTCTTGCAACCAATTCTGTATAGATATTAGGTTGCGTGGTTTTTGCGCTCTACTTTCTCGGACTTGGCTCTTCATCTTGTTTTGTGAGAGGATTTCATGTATGGGATATGAAAATGTCGGGTCATCTGGCCTTGGATGCAAACCTTGCTTACAATCTTCAACCATATGTATTTGAATGGCAGGACTTTGGTGACAGTCTTCCAGGTCATGGTGGTATGACTGATCGAATGGATTGTCAGGTTTGTTATCACAACAGACACTATCATAAATTCTGGAGCCTCAAGTGTTGTTTCTTCAACATATGTGCCCAGAGTTTGTCAGGATACACACTTGTTGATTTGCCTATATTCTTTTCGCTTTCTGCTTTTGTGAAATTGAAATGTTGATCTGGCTTTCAGTAGTGTTATTTTTGGCTTATTACTTAATAGGAATAGGCAACGGAGTATTAAGGTATCGGCCTTGTACTTCTTTACGCTGTCTGTTGAAATTTGTGATGAGAAGGAAAAACAATTTTATTCATTTAAACTTAATTTTGAATTATTATTGTCGTGCATTATCTTATTGTCTCTTTATTCAAGAGTTTCTCTGCTGGCTGTCATATAGATGGTAATGGCGGTTTTCTCATACATCTACTACCAGTCCTTCATTGCTACTCACCGATACACAACAAAGTCTTTACTTGACCAGGTTTGAAAATCTTTTAAATTTCTATTTTTGTTGATGAGTTCAATACCTGTTTCTGGTCTGTAACATAAATCTTTTTATGAATTCTCTTTTATCATTGGTTTGGTACGTACTTTGGAGTCCATTAGACTTCACCTACACGAAATTTCTTGGCTATGGTGGTTATGGCGATCTCTTCAAGCAGCTCACGAATATTATGTGGCTGTCACAGATATTGATGAACTTGACGGTAGAAGAGCAGATGATTCTTTTTAGGCAGCTTGGTGAGGCCCTGCAACTTACGTGAAGTGTTTGGCAAGGTTCGAAGATTGAAGACAAGTTGGTCATCATTGTATGTTGCCTTAACTTGAAATTGTTTTCCCGTCAGTTGGCCTGAGTAGAAACCCAAGCTCTATGCTGTGGGTTTTTTTGTATATACTATAGGTGACGCACCCCGTAAAATAGCCAGTAAAGAGGGAAAAGTGCGTACTCACTAACAATCTTGTTCAGCATTTAGTACGCTATGTTGTAATTTTGTCAATTCGCATAACAAAAGTGCAAACTTGTTGAATCTGAGCTGCCTTGTAATGCGAATGTTTACAATATGATCTACAATAGCAAAGTATTTGTTTTGATTTTAAACTAAATTAAATTAGATTTATAATTATGAATGACTTAATGCATGCTTGGTGAAGAATTAAACTTGAAGCAATTAAAGGTCCTTCCATGCTTGTATATATATATAGAGAGAGAGAGAGAGTGAACGAGAGAAAGAGAAACGTGCTTTCATACACATCTTAACACATGACATACATGTATATAGTGAAAAGAAAAGTGAGAAGAAAGTACAAATGAAGAATAGTTTTGAAATCTTAAAACTCAAATTTTAGTTACATAAACAATTATTTTGAAAACTCATTACATTCTCGCACAAAAGACATCCGAAATCAAATAAATTAATAAATTAATTCCCAAAAATACCAGGATCGGCTGATAGGTAGTTGTGCACAGCTATAACATTGTACATCTTAGTCAGGGATGACAAATTAATATAGTTCTGAATATGATCAGTCCATGCACAACAGATAATCGTTTTAAAACATCTTCCTGCCAATCATCATATCTAACAAGCTTGAGTGAATGCTTCATTTGTGGACTTCTAACAATCATACCAAGTCGGCGTGTAGCTAATTACGTTCAAAATATGCGTCGATATTCTGATCGTGCTTTTTGTCAAAGGTCAGACCAAACCTTTTTCTTTTCTTTGTTAATCCATGGTACAAGACACATAGACGTGACAATCTTTAATACCTGATGCAAGTGAAATTCAATTTCCCGATGTTGCTACAATGTTTTGCAGGTTTGCACACGTACTCCAAATTGGGAGTGCATGCTGCCTGCTAGAATCCTTTTCTACGCATGAATCTACTCATCAAACAAGCAAATTCCATGGCTCACCCTTTCCATTAACCTTCTTCAAGATGAATCCAAACCTAGACTGCAAAAGAATCCTCTACTAAAGCTATTCCTGTTACCTTTCAAATTCAAAGACAAACATTCTACAAAACTCTAACTACCATCCAATTACTGGCATGTGCCTAATGCCCAACACTCGGTCATTCTCTTCACTCTTCAACCATACTCAAATCTTGTCAAGAAGAAAGATGATGATCACGACGACATACGTAAACGGAAATCCAAATTTGGCAAACTCCTTGAACTGGTAGTCTACTGCGGCGTACACCATCAAATTGGTTGGTAGCCGCAGGGAAGAATGAAAGTTGCGCTGACGCTAAGCATTACAACCACTCTCATTTGAGTGGAGACGATGTTCAGCGCATCTTCCTGGCCTGCAGCGATAGGGTACATGATCGCCGCGGCAGCATTGTTGCTCACAAGCTCCGAGAGCAACACAATTGTGAGCTTCCTATGTCGCTATATACATGTACAGCTCACAATGTATATAGCGACATAGGGAGCTCTCTTGGTGTTGATGCCTCTACTGATCTTGATGAATGTGTTGGCGATGGCTTGGCTGAGACCGGCTTTCTCTAAATTCTTACTATAAGCGATTGCAAAGGCTATTGTAATGAAAACTCACCAATTGATGTTGTTTTGTGCTTGGTCATCTCTCAAGTATCTCGTCAGCAACATTAGACTGGCTGTTAGAAATGCCGCCGTGAAGATGTCGATAAGGCCTTCGTTATCGAGTGCGCTGTCCACGATCTGAGTGCCGACCATGACAGCTTTTAGAAACATCGCCGCTTGCATCTGCAATCTTTTAGGTGGCGAAGATTCAGGCATAACGGTTATGAGACTAAAGGCATCATTGTTTCGGAAGCGATGCTCAAAAGTGGACCCTGTGTCAAACAAGAACACATTTCCTACTCGTAGCTTCTTGTCTCAAACATACGTCAACAAACTTTGTCCCTTGCTGTGTAATGCAAGCACAACAACGTCATATTTGTTATATAAATGACCCTTACAAACGGTCAAACGGTCATTCCTACCAAAACACGCTCTAAACCATGCAAGCATTCGTTTGTAGCCCGCAAATCAAAAGACAAGCTTAATTTCAACAACGGATTCACATTTAGTACCTAATAAATATTCTTTTTCCAGTGTCATTGATCCTATCTATATCCTTGAAGATCACCTTTAGCTCTGGCTTGTTTAGTGCATCTTCTTTGTTTGCCAACAACTATCACGTCCCCAACATTCACTCTCACCTCACTCAAAGGCCTAGGCTGGCACATTTTGCTACGCTTCAATCATAGCACCGCCACATTGAAATGGTTGCGAAGTCTATCTGACCTACTTTATCTGTCCATCTTATCTTGGTTTAAGATAAGAATGTCTAAAAAGGACATGTCACGAATTTAGAATATTGACTTGAAATCTAAACAAGAAGCTCAAGAAGAATAGGCAAGAACTAGATTAATTAGATGAGTACAAGAACAACACTAGAGAGGTGAGCTAGAGCTCCAAGTGGTGTGTTGTCGAGACTGAGGATCCCCTTAGTCTTGGCTCCTATATATACTACAAGCTAAGAAGCTTCTCAAATAGCTTCTACAAACTAGGAAGCTTCTTAAGCAGCTCCTACATGTTAGGAAGCTTCTCAAGTAACTTCCATGAGTTTGAAAACTTCTCATGTAGCTTCTACAAACTACAAAGCTTTTCTAGAACCTTTTAGAATCTTCTACAACTTCCTAGTGTATGTCCTTGACATCACTCCTCCTTTTAGCTTTGTCTCCGAGAAGCACTCCTATTGCGAGTTAGTACCAACGTAAGAAGTTGAAAATTTGTCACATAGTATCTGCAATATACTCCAATTATTATTTGCATGATGTTGTCTTGTAAGACGACTATATGGTGAAAATATAAATGAAAAGGATTTTATTAATATTTAGTCATCTTAGATGTTAGAAACAGTGGCAAATTCCAGTGCCAATATTCAGAGGCCAGTTAATGTCACCCCATTGCAAGCTATACCACCGTACATGACATCAACAATATGCTCCACCGGTGTCGTGTTGTAACACAAGTATACCGTGAAAATATAAAGAAAGGGGACTTTTATTAATATTTAGTTACCTCGAATATTGGGGGCAACGACCAATTCTAATGCAAATACTGGGAGGCCAGGGTCAGTCACCCCGTTACAGTCAGCCGGGGCATACTGAAATGCTCCGTTCGATTCCAATAACGGGAGTCAGCAAAAAAGAAAAAGGACCAATTCAATGACGGGTGAGCCTGGTTCGAAGAGCCAATTGGATCCAATTTCAAGACATCCAATCCAGGTCTTACTACGGGCCTCTCAGCCAATCTGACGCGAAGGACCAATTTGACCCAGTTACGGGAACATCCAGATCTTACTACGGGCCTCTTAGCCAATATGAGACATGAATTGGTCGGGCGACTCAATGTGGTCCTGATTACGGGGTTTCGATTCTGTTTCAGGCTATCATGTTCTCTGTGCCGTTTCAGGGAACATTGTTTTCAGTAAAAGGATCTCTTAAAGGTAAAAATGGAGAAGAAAGCTTTGGCGGCGAGAGCCAATTTTAGAACCAAGCTCTGACGGTGGGAGCCAATTTTGGATCCAAGACGGAAGATTGAAGAAATTCAGAATTAAGATTAAGAAATGAGAAGAGAAAGTTTTGGGGGGGTTTTGAAGGATCAAGAGAGCTAGCTTCATGCTTCGGGCGAGAAAAAAAGACAGAGAATTGGGTTTTTTTTTCTTCATAGGGTTTTAGGAAGATTGAGGCAATCGTTGCTGAAGTCAGTGTTGTAATGGTGAATCGAGATTTTTAATGAAGTGGGTTTGATTACTCTTGACTGTTTTGTGAAATCGAGTTACGTCTATGATGAAGAATTAAAAGGGTGTCTATAGGATTGAGTATGCAGAGTGAATAAAATTTATTGGATTAATCTAACGAGACAGTCAGTGGATACAATATCGTGAGTATAAAGCGGTATCGAAGATTAGCAGTTTGGGTTGTTCGGGGTTCTCTGTAACGTCTAGAGACCTACCGCTGGGACAAAAAGACTTCGGCGAGTAGTCGAAGATCCATATAATTTACGATGTATTCTTGCAGTTGTTTATATTCCAACAATCAAAAACCGATAGACTTTTTGAATATTAGCAAATCTCCATACTACCTTCTACAGCCAGACGCCTGGCACGTTCTTGAGCAGGAAAGCACATAATACGACACAAGTGGTGAACCCGACGTGAAAGCTTGAGGTAGAAGGTATTGGATTTTGTTTGATTTTATTTTTATTTTTATGGAAAACGGAAATAAAAATTTTGAAGGATCTTTGGGAGGAGTTTCTGGTGGGGATTCTTCTAAAGGACAAGGTATGCACATGGATCCGTCTATTGCTAGTATGTTTCAAGCCTTCTCATTATCAATGCAGCAACAACAAAGCAATGATCGAAAGGAAGCTTTGGCAACCAAAGCATTATAAGCAGTGGTCAATAAAATTGATCAATTTGATGGAAGGAATATTTTAAGGTATTTAAGATGTTATGTTCGTGAAATGGAATTAAATCGGGTTTCTGAGAAGAAAATGGTTGAACTATTTGGACTTGCCACGATACCGAAGATAAGAGATCATATTACATCGATTACGGATCGTTATGGGAATTCATGGGAGGTTTTTTCACATGCATTGAAAGACGAATATTTCTTGAAAGATGCTGATCGCGTTACTAAGAAGCTGTTTCAGGAATGGATTGAACGGCCCAATAAGAATTTGCAAGCAACAGAGCTACTAAGGGAATTTGAGAGGTAGTACTCTCAATTATCGAAGGTAGAAAAATTGACATTGGAGCCGAACAAAGTTGATCTATTTCTTCAAGCTGCTGATGGAGAATTGCAAGGGAAATTAGAACTCCTTCTTGAAGACAAAGAAGAAGATGAAGGATTGACAACAAAGTAGAAGAACGTTGAAGATGCGGTGGGGTTGCTTATAAAAAGAGAAAGGAGGAAGGATAGGAGCAATATTCCAAAAATAGTACAAGCACCCAAAGCTCCAGTACGTACAATACCACCAACAATGCCTAAAGTTCAACC